CAGGTTGTTGCTTAGTGCTATACGTAGGATAGTATTAGTGGCCGTACCGCACACTGAGTGAAACAGCCACCAGATATAATCCATCAAAATCTATTGGCAAACAACACTGTTTTAATAATTTTACTGTCTGGAAATCCGCTGCCAAAAGTATTCCTAACGTTAGGATAGAATGAAGGCGTCGTTGTACCCAAATGTTAAGCAGTTCAGCCACGATTAATGAGGGAAAATGAGCTATGATTCAACCCATCGTTGTTCCGAGCATGTGAAATAGTACAGCCATACAACCATCTGCAAGTGGTTTGATTTTAATGAAATGCCTCAGCAACGTACATTTTTTAACACACATAGTTTACAGTATGTACTAATTCTTTCTTTAGATCCCATTTGAATCTGTAACTTTCACCCTGCCATTGCCTTTCTTGCGTTCACTTCTATATTGGCGCGTGAATCAAAGTTCCTTGCGGCGCCTCCTCAGAAGGAATAACATTTGCCTTCTGCTGAGCATATTGTACAGCTAAGTCGATACAGGCGCTCTGTTTTTGGTTGTTGGGTTGTTCGCTGAGCTGGGTTTGTCGATTTCACCACCAATGGAGATGATGTCATCAATACGTTGTTGGGATGCTTGATGGATGGGTCCACCGTCAACCCATGGCCACACTCCTCTACGCTCCGTGATAATAACGTCATTTCGATTGGCGATGAATTCTTTGCAATCAAACTGCCCAGTTAAGTAAACAAACCAAAAACCATCTAAGCTAACTGAACCCCATTTTCCTCCTCAATAGCATACTGAAAATGTTTTCTAGTGGACACAGCACCACTTTCCAAATTCAAATAGTGGCATCTATGTGCTCCATTACTATTGGAACTCAAAACACCATGTTACTGGTCCGTTTGTGATAGCGTGCCTATATAAACACATACTTTGTATACAAACACATTTCGGGGCTAGTTTTGACAGTATTCAGGATTACCCACGAGTGCATTCCTGAGTATCACGATGTTCGCAAAAAAGCCCACTGAACTCGACCAGAGATCGGGAAACTGAGTCAAAAAGATCGCTGCTCAAATGAATTATGAATGCGGTCTTTGGCCCCAGGATGTCCATAGAACAACAGGGTTCTTTATGAATACCCGTTGCACCCAAAAAAGTGTAAAGTCGTGCTCCTTGACATGCAGCCACCGAACACACCACTTACAACCCAAGAAGACACCCGAATTCGTGGAGAGTTTTAGTGATATTGAAAGTCGTATTGTTTCCCACCGTAGTGTGGCTAATAAGGCCAATCCATGTTCATATCGGTTGATTTGAGACAACCATAGTGGCAAGAAATCTGAACATCAGGTAAGTATGGGCTATTTCGTCTTAAGTTAATAAGAAGTGGCCTCTGTAGTCATCAGCTCACCGTAAAAAATTTCTCGGAACGTAGAATCTGCTGAGACATGGAAGTACACAGAAGTTACAGCTACACTTGGCAGGATAACTTTAAATCGCAATCCCGTATGAGACATCAATCCAGTATACAGATTTGCTGAGGGCAGTTTCACTGAAGGCAAAGCCGAGTTATCCACATGACCGCTGTAGTAGAGTCAATAGTAGGTGTGCATTCCTGCTTCATGAATTCCGACTTCAGACAAGAATCTTATACTTAGCCCATGACCGCGGAAATTATGTGCAGTTATTCTCTGGCCGGAATCCCTCACCAGAATGCCATCATTTCAGCAATCCAAGTAAAAAGAAACTGGTTTACTAGGAACCCAGTCTGGCTTACGGGTCAAGGCACAGTTTGTGCCGCCTAAGTGTCAGGTGGGTTACTTGGTTCGATTGGTTCTTGGTTCGAGAGCTAGCTAGGCGATATGATATAAATAATGTCCCTGGTGTCACTCGGCTGGTCGGCGAAGCATTTCTGGACTTTGAATAACCAGGCACTATCTTCTGGGTGGTAGGAGAATAGCCGAGAATAACGAAAAAGAACAGACAGCATGGGAGTTCTCCGGAAGAGATCTCAATTGCCCCCAGTGTCTGAGTGCGTTCATATTTTTACCGTATTTCTTATATTGTGGATAGGCTGAATCCATGCAGGGACAGCAAGTGGAAAGTCATTCACACTGTGGAGCCTGATACTATTTCATCTGCTTATTTACTAAAAATAACTCTGTCACAGTAAAGCGCTGTACATAACAGTCTTGGAAGTGGCCACATGGAAACGGGGTATTTATGAGAATTTCAGTGAACGGAGGGCCGAACGTTGCTAATTTTCTAGGTCAAACACCTAGGTCACCATCATTGGAGTAACTCCCAGTCCTTGTGCTCCTGAAAAGCACACTTGATTTGACGAACAATCGGGTTAGCATCTACGATACAACTGGGGTAGTGTGTCGTCTGCAGATATCCTAACCACCCACCAAACTGCCTGATCTCTTTCGATAGCTCACACAGCAAGCAAACAAATGTGCAGAATTTACTCTACCACTCCCAGTTTTTTCGGACATCATCCAATTGTGGTAAAAATTGGCCGTTCTCTTCTATTGTTCATGCCAATTTAGAACTACCGTAAGTTGCAGCTCATTCAGAGGGCACGGTGCATAATACCGAATATCTGCACGACTGGCGAACTCGTTTCAATTTTCTGCATAGCGACCTAATGGAGTAAGTTAAGATTTCGTGAGTGTTATGAGTTTAGTGAGTTATCAAACTGCCTAACTCGACTAAAACTAAAAAGGAATTGGAACCGTCAAGAAATCCCCCTGTATTCAGTTCACCAATCACATACAAAAGTTGGGTTTTGCGGTAAACCAGACCTGTGGTGTGGTGTGATGAAAAATGTTTCTGACAAGAGTGATGCGCCTATTGCTGGCTCTAATTAACCTTTACCATACAGAACGAAGACTGAAAGATAGATCAACGCACACTCTTTCGTATGCNTATACATATATATATATATATACATGTATATATATATATATATGTTAAACCAATATCCAAAACGAGATATTCAACTAGATCCAATTGAGCCTCCCATCAGAACCAAATTCCTCGTAAGTGAGGGCATTCTTTATAAGTCTGGTTTAAGTAGAACATAAGGTTGACAAACTTGCGGAAACAGGCCAACCTAGTGAGCCCTAAGAAAGCTGAAACAGGTCGCTAGCTATCAAAGAATTTTAGCAATCCTCTAAGTAGCTTGCCTACTGGCATTTTTAAAGCACCTTCATAAGAGTTTGGGGTATTTTCTGTTTCTGTAGAGAAAGGGCGATGGGAAATCATTTGAGCTTGATTAGTACAACAAAGTTGTCAACTTTATCGAATCTTATCGAGCGGCTATGAAAGCAGGGGCCCAAATATGAAATTGGTACAACAATTTGGCAAGATTGCTTCTTCCCATCTTCCCATCTTCTTGCCCATCTTCCGTTCAACCTCTATCTCACACGTACCTGTGAGGATAACTTCAGCGATTATGAAAGTGTTAAGGTGATTATTACTTGATGGTTTTTCATTTATTCAACTAGAAGCGGTTCTCCTCCAAAATACTGTTATTTTGTCTTTTGACTTGATTCTGCTGCTTGTGAACAATCAATACGTTCATAACCTGAACCCGTATTTCATAAAATGGCTACAGCACTTGGATCTGCAGCATCCACTGTGTCCTAATAGAAGTGCTTCCAGGGTGACTTTTCTCCATAACACCACATCAAGGGTTTCAACATAAATCCCTGAACATCCAAATGACGCGTGGTAAAATAACACGATGCACCGGCTTTGTCCACCGTGACAGCATACTTTTCACTGACCCGGATTTAACGTACGAATTGTCAAATCATCTGAATAAACACAGCTTACCTAACGGTTGACTGCTGTGTGGTAATGAAGCTGCTTTGTCTACAGACTTGTCAGTACTTAAAGAAATTGGTTGAAATACCTTCGAGAAGTCATTCTGTTTAACTGCACTGGCCATATCCTGAGCATTCTTATTCTTACAAGAGTAAACATTAATTGGCTGGAGAGCAGACCGATGCTCATCCAACTCGGCCGACTTGTTCATCGAACAGATAAGAAAAACCAGCTGATCAACAGATAAATGCAACCAAGCTACCACTACTTCGATATGCTTCCAGTTTATTCGTCCGCTTATTCCTTGTGTAAGATCATGGGAACCATACATTTGAGCGCAGCAACCTATCCTGTTTCTTTACCTCCTACAGCGTAAGGTTGCGAAGACTTATTCTTAGCGGATGTGAGTTCGTGGCATGCCGGAGCTCTTCGAAGTTTTATATCAAAATATAACGACATTACGTCATTCTAAGTCATCTACCTGGTATTTTATTCGGTTGGACACCACCACATCTTTAATGGCCGCTCTGTTCGCCTATCGGGGCAGCACCATTAGACACAGTGTCGAACACAATGGTTTTTCGCCATATGTTCGCATGTTCAATGACGATTTACAGGCTGAACCAGAATGTCGCAAGGAAACTGTCACCTAAGAGGGATGCCATGTGCAATAATTGCCGCCATTAAGCAACTGTTCAGCGGTTTTCAGATGGTGGCTTCTCGTTTCCTACACCCGATGACGTAGTACTGCAAAAGAATAATGGATAAAAACACTAAACCTGAAGGAAAATTCATAAAGTACGTCTGCGGGATTTACTCTTCACTGATTTTAACAAGACTGCGTTCTACATGGAACAAAAATTTGCCTCAATGCATTTACGAATTTCCAGTTAGAAATTAATCTTACATGACCATTTCTTTTAAGGTTAAAAAGCTCACATCTCCAAAGGACAGCCACCAGTCCACGGGGAAAGGTTAATCAAATAGATCGTTAGATTTGTTGCAAACAAACAGCGTGTTGAACAACGATAGAAACGAAAATCATTTTGGATCCCACAAAAGGACGTTGTGCATTGAAATTTTATGAATATAAGGGAACAAGAAAAACGTAGGCAGTAGTGAGATTCAGAATGTATTTGAAAGGGAGAAGAGAGCACTCGAACACAGTGAGATGACAACGTCGTACGAGCGACAAGAGGAGAAACAAGTGGAACAATTGGAAGGTTTTGCAGAGAACGTTGCCGACAAATATCACGACAGTGTCGATAAAATAGGAATGCTAGAGACTGTTGTCCAGGCAGAGAGTGGAAATGGGAATAATGATATATCGTTGAATAAGAAGGAGAGCATCGTCCTCATACGTGATAACATTGCTGCAGCATAGGTTGAATATGAAAAGTGAAGGCTAAAATGAAATGCAGAGGCAAAGAGTTTAGTAGTGCGGGAAAGTAGATTTGCCATGAGGAATTTCCGCAAGGATTTCCGCTTAGGATTTGGAAAGAGAAAGAACAAGAATACAGTTTGGATTGATTTGAACTGCGAGGTTTATTTAAAAAAGCACAGCCGCAGAGAATTATAGAAGGATTTCAATGAAGTAAGTGAAGTAGGATTCGTAAAGCATTATTCGAGAATTTCGGTAGGTCAGGCGCTCGCGGTAGTTCAAAATTCGAAGAGATCTGGGACGCCAAATAAAGAACAAAGTTATTTTACCATTTTATCGGTGTCGGAGGATACCGCTCCCCAAAGATCGCTTTCGTACAACAAAACTATGGTAAGCGAGATTATAACACCTTAATAAATCACTGCACTATGGAGTGTAAACCACCTCTCAGTAACGTACACGATTTGCTCGATCACCAAAAAAGGCAAAAAGCCAACTGGCTGTTCTCAGAGGTGGCCAAAAAGAAGTTAATTATGTCATCCCAAGTCAAGAAATCCGAAGATGGCGAGCAGTATCACATACAATTCAACGAACTTGCAAATTGCTGAAGACTGGAAGCTTAAGCCAAATTGTCCTCCATAAGGAAGCTAAAGAATACAACGGTGTTTACCCAGTGGAAACCGTACTGTGGATTTACAGCAGCTTATTCGATTGTGCTAACAATGATCCAAATTCTAAAAAAGTGTTCTTGATTGCTTTTGGACGATACTCGTTAGGGTTTGAGTGATGCTCACTCTCGAATATAATAGGTACAAGAGTTAGCTTTCGGCAAGACGTAAAATTAGTCCCAAAGAAAACATTTGACAGTGAGAATTGTGATGGGGGCGTCCTTCTTTGCAATTTTGCTGAATAAAATAATGTTACACCGACATGTACCAAAAGGGTAATAAATTTGTTGCACATAGAAATATTTGGTCTTTCCGGGTATGATAAGTGAAAAAGTGAATGATCAAGGGAATCGATCCGAGGAGATAATCAATTTCTCACAGGGTAGGACCACATAGCTTCCTTTGTACCGGGGATCAGAGGAGAAGGATGAATTCGGCAGTCACCGAAGAAATTTGTTTGCTCAAAAAATCTATCACTGCAGGGGTCGTGGGGCGAGTGAGTGAAGTGAGATTATGCCATATTTTATTGAGATTCTTTCGGATGCCGACACAGAAATGAACCACTGGGAGAACCATAAAAAAGGACTTCCCAAATGCTTCGCACAAATTGGGAATAAACACTTGCATACAACCACAGTAAGCCTCCTGACAGAAGTATATGGAAAATTCTCAGAAATATCACGAGGACACAGCTTCGCAGCTGCGGAAGAAAGAAACCGGAGACTAGTTTGGAAAGTGAATTAGGATATGGCATGCATATAATGAGTTGATGGTCAGAATTTCCAGGGTGGTATAAAGTATTGCACAGAGAGTGGTAGCTGGTGATGAGATGACAGTTGAAGGTTTACAACGTGTTGTTGTCACGCCCCAGGGCACGAGTATGAGGTCACAAGATGGAAAAAACATTGCTTATTGAAAGTGCTCTCCCCTGAGACTGGCCTGATTAGAGGCATTTAGATATATAAGCATCTCGGAATCAATAGAAGTGGGATTGCACAGCCCAACGACTGACTTGTGGTGGATTCGGCATAACTGAAATCAAGTGAATGAAGAGCTTAACACATGGTATCAACGAGTCGACTGTGTTCAATCGATAAATTTAATCATAAAACTGGAAAACGTGTGCAAAATAATCGAGCGATAAAGTGCAATAAACAAGCGCAAGTTGAAGGAGTTGATTTAAATTCAAACCCTAGTGGTAAAATGGAACTTGCGCAGTAGATAAAAGTTTGGCAATAAGATTGACTGGAATCACACAATCCAGGAAGTTCGCTTTAGCTAAAAACGAAAAACAAGAAGAGTACGGGAAGGGTTATATACACATCGACCAATGATACTTAACTAGGTAACGTGTACGAACACATGAGATTAGTGGCTGGAAATTAAATAAAGTAGTATTCCTCATGTGTCCCATTGTTTTATATGGCAATCTAGTCCATGAATTGAGTTGATCCTATGGTATAGGTTCAGCATTAGGGTGCATTATCAGCACCAGTGTAGCGCGTAACGGTACCAACAATTTATAAGGCATGTGCACTGTATCGTGGTCCCCGATTTAAGAATACTATCATCTACTAAAAACAAGTGAGACTGCTCTTTTTAACCAAACGATTCGCGACTGCCCTCGCGGAAAATGCAGCAGCGCAATGCACCATTTGGAAAAATATGTTTCCGGCAACATCTGTTATGGGATGTACAGTCTTAGAAAGAAGAATACAAAAACTTGATAAAAACATACTACAGAGAAGAACAGTGAACAGTCCTTGTAGTGACTTATCACATAGGTTCTTGGTTGATCGCTCGACAGTCTAGTGGGTGCATTGAAAGATCCACTCGCAATTCTCGCTGTGATCGATTCATCTGCATCGAGAATTATCCAAGAAAATATGTGCTGAAACTTGGTTAATTAACATATTTGGACGTAATCGTACCTCTGATTTTTGTGGTCGTATATTTGATTAGATTACATTTACCTGAAAAAAAAGATACAGAGCGGTATGCATATAATGAGTTGATGGTCAGAATTTCCAGTGTGGTATAAAGTATTGCACAGAGAGTGGTAGCTGGTGATGAGATGACAGTTGAAGGTTTACAACGTGTTGTTATCACGCCCCAGGGCACGAGTATGAGGTCACAAGATGGAAAAAACATTGCTTATTGAAAGTGCTCTCCCCTGAGACTGGCCTGATTAGAGGCATTTAGATATATAAGCATCTCGGAATCAATAGAAGTGGGATTGCACAGCCCAACGACTGACTTGTGGTGGATTCGGCATAACTGAAATCAAGTGAATGAAGAGCTTAACACATGGTATCAACGAGTCGACTGTGTTCAATCGATAAATTTAATCATAAAACTGGAAAACGTGTGCAAAATAATCGAGCGATAAAGTGCAATAAACAAGCGCAAGTTGAAGGAGTTGATTTAAATTCAAACTCTAGTGCGCAGTAGATAAAAGTTTGGCAATAAGATTGACTGGAATCACACAATCCAGGAAGTTCGCTTTAGCTAAAAACGAAAAACAAGAAGAGTACGGGAAGGGTTATATACACATCGACCAATGATACTTAACTAGGTAACGTGTACGAACACATGAGATTAGTGGCTGGAAATTAAATAAAGTAGTATTCCTCATGTGTCCCATTGTTTTATATGGCAATCTAGTCCATGAATTGAGTTGATCCTATGGTATAGGTTCAGCATTAGGGTGCATTATCAGCACCAGTGTAGCGCGTAACGGTACCAACAATTTATAAGGCATGTGCACTGTATCGTGGTCCCCGATTTAAGAATACTATCATCTACTAAAAACAAGTGAGACTGCTCTTTTTAACCAAACGATTCGCGACTGCCCTCGCGGAAAATGCAGCAGCGCAATGCACCATTTGGAAAAATATGTTTCCGGCAACATCTGTTATGGGATGTACAGTCTTAGAAAGAAGAATACAAAAACTTGATAAAAACATACTACAGAGAAGAACAGTGAACAGTCCTTGTAGTGACTTATCACATAGGTTCTTGGTTGATCGCTCGACAGTCTAGTGGGTGCATTGAAAGATCCACTCGCAATTCTCGCTGTGATCGATTCATCTGCATCGAATATTATCCAAGAAAATATGTGCTGAAACTTGGTTAATTAACATATTTGGACGTAATCGTACCTCTGATTTTTGTGGTCGTATATTTGATTAGATTACATTTACCTGAAAAAAAAGATACAGGGCGGTTCCTCCAGTAGTTCCANTAATCGTACCTCTGATTTTTGTGGTCGTATATTTGATTAGATTACATTTACCTGAAAAAAAAGATGCAGAGCGGTTCCTCCAGTAGTTCCACTAGGGAGAAGCTGACTCGACGCATACGTTCTCGCTTTGTTTTACCATAAATCGATTCAGTTGCATTAACACAGTCGAACGCGACAAACAAGCAATGATTCCAGTTCAAAGTACACATGGAATGTCGTGTGTCACACGCTGTACCTGGTTAAAATTAAATATTTCAGTCGTTGCAAACCCCACTCGCACCTGTCTGGTATTACGTTAATGAACCACAGACTTTCAACTCTTTCTTTGCCCTCTTAACAAATTCTTCCGGCGAGGCTTTGATGGGCTTACCAGTGTCAAAAAATCCCCTTGTTTTTTTTCTTTGGGCACGCCTTTAATATGCCCACATATAATGAAGTAATTTCTAAACCAATCGCTTTTAGCCCGTTCAGCTACAACATTAAATTTTGTGATGTTATGTGAAAATGCACAACAGTAGTAAAACTGCAACTGTTTGATGTCCCAACACAGATGGTGTTATGAGCAAATAACACTGGAACGACTCTACGAAGCATTAGTCATCCAGGACATTCTCACGATGAAAATGTGAATCAGCCGAGCAGTTCAGGACCTGGCGATCACTGTACACTACCCAGACGTGTATTTGAGATGCCTGTCTGTGAATAAGTCCCTTGCGGACGGCTGAGTGTATTAGATCGATTTTTTCGCTCAGTCCCTTCAAATGCTGCACTCTGTGGTCGGCAGTGTGGTTACCCAGTTGAGTAAGATATCCAAAACAACCAAGATTCAAGCTTGCTTACTGTTTCAGAAGGAAAAGTCGACCATAGAAATAGCTGTTTGCAACCTAAACTACATATGCTGGTACAATGAGAAAAACTACCATGGATAGCCAGCTGCTGCGAAAATCACGGCAGTCAAGTGGCACTTCCTTTACAATTCCTTCCAGATAGATAAACTTAATCAATGTTGCCGTTTGGCCCTTTGCATCAAGCTGAAGGCACTGAGCAAAAAACGAGTGCAGCAATATTCTACGGTTTGCAAGCAGATATTCCCAACGGAAATAAAGAATTTAATGATTCGTCATGATCCGTCATCACTCCAGTTATTGCGTGAAACTATTAGGCTGTTCATATAATATATATCACTCGGTCATTTTGTAGCACTACGCTGAAGTCCATGATCAGCTTTGGGTCAGATCCAACAGTCACATTAGTATATATTTCTAGGTCCCGGGGTGCTAGTTGTGCCATCGATCAAACGATGTACCAGCCAATATGTGCTTAGAATCCTACTTCTGTAGTGATTATGTAGTCATTCTTCTAGTGCAAGTCTTGATCATTCATTCAGTTTTTATCCTGTATCTCCAACGCAGATAATATGATGGTGGTTTGACCACAGAAATCTTACAGGACTTGTTTAGTACCAGGATACAGAAGTAAAGTTTAGCGAGTGAGGGTGCTATGAAATCTGTCAGTTCAGCATGACCAATTTCAGTATGTCTTCTTCAGAAGGTATGGTTTCAAAGGCCGTAATAGTTGATCCCGCGAATGGGAGACTGATGCCCAGCAATGATTTGTGCCCAATCTTTCAAAACAAATTTAAACCTGGAAAGAATTGGCCGTATTTGTGTAAACATTCTTGATCGACCCACCTTTTCTGTGCGTTCAGTTGGTCAGTATGCTATGGGTATTACTCTTCAACTTGAAGCAGATGGATAACTCAGATTGTCCAAATATCCTTACATTAAAAACGTGATTTGCGTTACATCAGTGCGCACGAAAAACCATGATATGCCGTCATCCTGCTAATAATGTTAAAGTGTCCATTTGGAGATAATCGCTTTCTGAACGCTACTTCTTAATTTTACCAGTCATCAAACGAGAAACAGAAGTTATTTCTAAAGTTTTATCCATCGTACTTTGAGCTCTCCTATCTCTCGACGATATAAACTTGATTATGGGTTTCTGTTAACGGGGAGAAGTTCACAAGGAGACGATAAGTAAGAATGCCAAGCCAATCACTCGGCAAACTCAAGCTGTTATTACTGCATCAACTTTGCGGATCTTTTGGTATAAAATTCATTCCAGTTTATACTAGTAAGGAGGAAACCGGAGCACTGGATGCCGATCGATTCAAATACATACCTTTGGAGACGGCCCATGTTATATCGTTTTTTCCGCAGATTTGCTGAATAGGACCTCATGTGACATTTAAAAATGCTGTGTGCTACCATGCACGTATCGATTTGCACACACTAGCGCACTCGTATGCACGCACCTGTAGTCGTGTTGTGCTGGCACACATGAAAGTAGGGAAGAGACGTGGGAGCGCCAGACTTGTTCACTGAAGTCTCGACTTGACACACCTAACTGATGAACGTGGCTGACTGGGTCGGTTGACGTAACCAATCGTAACGAGGCACCTAAAATTTATTAGCCTGCCACGACCGAGCCATTCAATGTAGGCCTGTAACCACTCAATAAGAATGCGTCGTGTGATAGTCCAGTGTAGAGAGGAAAAGGATATTACCGTGTTGCTAGAAGTGGCAAAAGAGGTGAGTGTTGATTTAACCATTCTGAATCTGGTTTTGCCCAAAGAGACTTGTATGTTAAGAGTAGAGTAGGTAATACAGTGGAGGTTATGTGGGAACTGATTGCGCAATCAGACAGACGTCTCATTCCAATTTCATGAGAAAAACAAGACGGATAATCCTACTTTTCCAAACATAAATCAGTAGCCGGTCATACTACACATTGTGGGCTAAAACGTTTTGTACAAATCCAGCTCTCTATGATTCACTATCTGGGAAGACGGTTTGCGGTAGCAGATTTTCTGTCAAATAATTTGTCTACTGCTGCCAAGAAATAACGTTTGAAAACCCCAGCCGTGTGAACGGACGACTCCTCGGCGTTAGTATTATCCATTGATTGACATGCAAATCATTCAGTAGGTCAAACAAAACCTTTTGAAGAAATGCCAAAAAAGTCACATTACCTCGCATTATCTTCCTAAGAAGGACCTTGATAGTATGGGATTTGTGGATACTTCTTATTGTGTTATACTCGCACACACAGTTCAGATCAGTTGTGAACAGCTTGGAATCAATCGAGAGTTTATCGCTTCAAAAGGCTAAATAAATCTGCATTCATTGCTGAGTGACGTTCCGTATTTGATACAGAAGCTTTGTCCGAATGAATGTCAGGGTGACCGAGTTTCAGACATTCAAGCTTCATTTCCATCATCACATTAGATTATCGTCAAATTTCGGTCAAAGACTCTTTTTGGTTGAGTTTTTATCCTTTTATTCAGGTTTAGAGTACTTTGGTTGAAACTTCCTTTCGGGTTTCATATGCAGTTCTCGTTGGTCTGTGTCTTAAACACTTTCACAATAATCCCGTTAGGAGTAGGGTTTAAGTACGTGGATTTTTATCTCGGGTTGTGTATTCTAGGCCCAGTTTGCCTCTCCTAGTTGCTCCTGATGACCGCTGCACACAGCCACTTGTCAGTTTGACATCATAACTCACCCTTCACAATGCTCAACAGTTTTACGCCTGTTTTATTAACAGTGAGACGCTTGGCAATTTAACCGCATCAGTCATTAGCCGCTGTGGTCTCCACCTCAAGACTGTAACTTTTTCTAGTGAGTCTAGTGAAAGTCCAGCAATCCCCGTGTTTTTGGTCAACCGTTATTATTGAACTGCATTCCCTGTTGGTCTGTTTGCCCTCTCATTGTTCTCACCAGCTCTGGTGTGGCCAGCCCTAGCTCTGTTTCTCGTATGTCAACCTTGGTGCAGTCGTTGCATCTGATTTTGCAGACCCAGTCCACAGGGGGGCCACTCCTCAACTAAACCAAAGCAGACCAAAGGGTTTCACTTCTGGACTTCTACTGCTATTTTTGCTACCCTTCTTTGGTCAAAATAGATTCTCCACGATTCCTGCTCTTTGGGTCTATCAACCATTGCTAATAAGTGAATACCCTCCTCAAATCCGTTTTTGTCCACTTTGGATAGCCTTTCTAGGAACTTATTCTGTGCATAAGTCCCTTACTCATCTACACACTGGTGTAGTAATCCTAGCGAATAGGTTGGCGAATAGCTCGAAACTGTGCCAGTATCAATCAGCTCCTGATAAACGAAGAATATTGATTTATCGCCAATCTGATAAGGTTGTTACGCCCGGATCTGAAGCTACCTCCTTACTAGGTTTTATTTGAGGATTCAAGTTGTTAAGCTGATTATGACATTTACTGGCCTGCCTGTAAACCATACAAGTTAATTAATAAAATTGCCGTTCAAAGTTGGTGGTTCTAAAACAGCATATTTGGGAACCAAGCACTTACATCTTGCTGTATTAGTAATGGAATCGCAACTCACCAAGTAGGTGTTTGCACCATCATTGTGAAGCTGCCTGAGTCATCATTTACCGTTGTGAATATAGGTTAAATCAAACAATGGATAGGTTATGAAGAAATAGCGGACCCCTCGGTTGGTAGGATGCAATTGACTGTCAAAGAACCGGATTTCCCACCGGGACAATAGCTTCATTATTCTAATAGAGTCAATTTAGTCTGAGTTAACACATGATCACAAAAATATGAAGCAAGCAGGCCTGTGAAAATCCTCCATAACTGTCTAACATTATAATTACGTCATGTGACAAAACTATGTGACAACGTGAGAACGCAACATGACCACGACTGGTGCATTGGCTCTGGGCAGCACGCACCCCATAAGTTAATCAGACAGTGATGGGTAGTCTCCCAGATTCTCCAGTATCACACAAATTTGTAGGAAACATCACGCAGTCGGTTAGCATCGTCATCAGATACGCATAAACCTCAAGTGAGGATATTTTTCATTTGACTGAAGTGGCTATGGACAGCGGTGAAGTATCTCGAATGTATTCAGCGTACGCAGGACATGTGGTAAAAACTTACCCAATGTTTCAGTGCACATGAACAGAGCCACCAGTAGCTATGGTGCAACCTCAGGACGTACCTGATTTTACACCTTTTATGTCCACTGCTTGGTGCATGTTTCGTCATTGCTGAGTCATTTACGGGCATCCGGTAAGCTTCTGCATTGATTGGCAGATTATTCACACTCCTAATTGGTGCGCCACAATGTATCAGTCGCAGAAGTACGAGCACTTGTTATCTTCAATATCCGCCGTGTCCCGTTCCATAAGCTAGGAGGTAGTGCACCAATTGTGCCAGCAAAGCGTGAACAGCTTCCCGCGATTGTGAAGCACACCAAGTAACTGCACACTTTAGTGAGAGGGATGGCTTTTTTCATCTAAAACACAAGGAATGAATCCGTATTAGTTATTCAGTACTGGAGTCAGTAAACATATTTATTATTATTATTATTATTATTGTTATTATTATTATTATTATTATTAATTGGACAAACGCGAAAATCTGGCTTTTTTGCGCGAGGCAGTTTGGCCCGAATAGTATGCATGTGCAAGATTTTTTTGATCCAGAAGCGTTCTGCAATTTCCGAATCGTAGGTGATCAGCTAAAACAACCTATTTACACTTGATCTGATGCTGCGCTGAAAAAAGCGGAGTCTAACACATCAACCGTTGACCCTTGTAAACTGGTCAAAAGCCAGTTGCCAATCTTCTGTGATCATAAAGTGAGAGTGGATCAATGGACAAGGTTAACTTTCACCTCTAGAGCGTCAATGCTCGCACAGCTGGTCCTAGTCTCCCACAAAACACGATAGCTTCTAGTTCACAGTATACTAGTTACAACTAATATCGATCTACTCGATCAACTTCTTTGCTCTTCTGAGGATGTGAATGGCGTAAAACAAAGTGGATCGATCACAGTCAATTTTTGCCGAATTCTGTATCCAACCGCACCACACTGACGTTTGAGTATTAGTTACCGAGTCTTTCCGTGGATCCGCTGCTAAGATTATCATGCTGGATTTAATAAATCGGCATCATATAGATGTCTTAGCTCACCACTGAAGAAATAGGAAATCAGTGTTCACTGATGGTATATTCAGCGATTGAGCAAGCGAATTGCCGTTCAGACAATGCAACCAGTTTTGCTGATTTGACATCACTGAGTCAGCTGCTAGTTGCCATATGGTATCTATTCCAGGTGCATCAGAGACAATAGGCCGCTTCTGGAGGAACAATCACTGTCCACCAAGTGTCCAGCGAAACTTGAGCCTACCGACGACCAGGACTTGAGGTGTCCAAGCCGATGAAACAATCCTCAGAGAAAAAAGGGAAACACTGACCGATGTTCCCGCTGGACTTTTGAGCCTTGGTAACTATTTTAGGGGCCGTGCACTGACCAGTCGACTAAGCTTCTTTGGACAATACCTGAGAGCGAATCTGTTTTCAGGCCTACCATATTAACCAAAAGGTTGCTGAAAACTCTTCGAGAGCTTATCACTGGTTTCACCCTGTCCGGGGAGCAGCTACCTAAATTCCCTCAAACATGCTATAATTGAACGTCATAAACGAGAGATTCAGTTTGGTCATCCGTGAATGCCCAATTGGTATGCAAATGAGTGTATTTCGTTAAACTTCGTTTTCTTTGCCCACTCTTGCGCTGTATTATCACTAGGATGGTGAAACTAGCATAAACACGTCGGATCCACTCCGTCCTTACGCAAGTTCTCGTTGACTCATTAAGCCGTCATCATATGTCGAAGCTTTCATTCACTTGAATTGTGACATATCTGCTCCTAGTGGTTTCCCAATTAGGCTGTCAGTGGACGCACAGGAAACTGAGATCTGCCTTTCGACTGAACATATCATAATCAAATCACAAAAAGATGTTCATTAACACTTTTCTCAACGCATCACTGTGACCCTCAGAAGACTGTCAGGTCATCAGTTTTAACTGTTGTTTTCAGTCAGCAGTACACAAAGCGCGAACGGAACCTAGAGAAAAAGGTATGTTATTTCACTAAGTTTTCCAATTATGAGAAGTCAGAGGATTTTTCCGATACGTTTTATTCTTATATGACTGAACTGGGGAATAAGTACCGGTAACTGCATCACAGAAATATTTACGTCAAATGGCAGTGTGTGAATATGCAAAAAACAGATTAATTGACAAACTTTTGATTGTCGGGCATCTAGACCAGTCACTGTTTGTATGAAAAGGAATGGTGACAACGAACTGCTCTGGAATCTTTTTGCTGAGATTAGACTGCATCATAATGAGAAAAGCCTTTTTAGAGCTTTCTAAATCACGTGACATATACGCGGACAGTGTAAACATGAGATCAGTCCAATAAATGAAATATTCTGTCATTGCTAGACTGTGAAAGCGTTGAACAGTGACGCACAAGGAAATTCAGTCGATTTCGTCTCCGATACACGACAATTCACCATCGCTTTGCCTGGTGGGTGACCACAAACAACCACCATGAGCAAAAAAGCACAGTTTCATTCCTGATTCATCAACTCCTTTAGGGTTCACGGTATCCATTCATTACCAATGTCCACACGACAATGACGAACAAGAAGTCAACAACCCGATCGCCAAAAACTGTTCCGCCTAAAAGGCTAAACAAACATTCT